CAATGTCTTTCTCGTATGAGCCATGTTTATTTCTCCTTTGCCTGGTGACCCATTTCATTGCTTCATGTGGTGAAAATCTATATCCTGGCACTCGACTCCACTTCCTGCAGTTTAGTCTGGTCCCGTCTCTACTTATTTTAAGGTGTAAGTTTTTGTTGTTCAAAAGGTATTTTTTTTCCCCCTGCGATAGCAGACCAAAATAACAACTACTGATGTAAACAGTTGAAAGATGTCAAGTGGTTTAACTCTCTGCTGTAGGGTAGAATAATATCACACTTTAAGAATGAGTGTCTTCATTTCCAGATTGGCACTTCAGTTCCAGTTTTTATTACAACCTCAATGCACCCACAATCGCTCTCTGTTCACTTCTCAGGTTAGGAAAATCCCTTACAATCTTTAACCAATGCAGTGCTTGAACACTCTATAATTGTGTGGGTTTCATTCCTGTTCCAGTGGTTGGTCCAGAGACTGTTGTTTCTCTGCTGTGTTTGAAAGTGATGTAATTTGTCAACTCCCCATCAACAACAACTTGCATTTATACAGCGCCTTTCATGTGGCGATGGCGGAGACTGGCACAGAGCCAGGACAGGGTTAAGAGTCTCAAAGGTCTGTCAACACCTCCATCCTCCTTCTCAGCATCTCTCTGTCTCTGCTCATAGGAAAGCAACTGGGCAAAGGAGACTGGTTCAGAGGGTTGTTGAACCCAATTGGTGTCAAGCTAGCGATCTCTCTTCTGATGTGCACCACGATCCCATTGCATTTTAGCAACGTGGTTTATTGCACTAGCTGGAATATTGCTTTTTAAAGGTATTTCTATCATCGCGTCCCCGGCAGTTTGAGGCCAGGTGAGTTGGTTAAAATTTGCAAGGTGCGGAATGCAATTGCCTGGACCATCCACTTGTTGTGTGAGAATCACACATACACACGCGCCAACAATCACAGAAATCTATCTCCCTTTGCTAGTTTGATTTGGGAAACGAGGTCAGCAACTCCACATGATTACAGGCAGGTGTGTGTGTGTGTGCAGTCTGGTTGGACCCAGGACTTCATCCTGTTATACTATATGTATGTGTGTGTATATATATACATAATATAAATTATACAGTCAATTCACTTGAAAGTATAATTGTCAATGAATTGACTGTATAATAACTGTAATTGTCTGTGAAGCACTTTGCGATGTCTCAATGATATAAGACGTTATATCAAATGTGAGGATTATTATTCATACTGAACTGCCCCTTGTTGAGGATCATTAATCAAAGCCCGCTAGCGAGAGACATCGCAACACAAGTTCTGGAAAAATAATAATGGAGTGAACTTGCCTCAAAATTGAACATACGAGAACTAAGTAACGTGTAGAAGTTAGAGAGAATGTACGCAAAGCATAGAAAATGGTTTTGGAGTGGCTTTTAATAATAATTTTAAACAGTCATGAAGGAAGTGACCAATTGTACTGGAGAGATTGCGGCCAGGACATGAGGAGATAGTCCCTTTTTGAATAAGGCCACAGAGTCTTTAACAGCAACCTGGACAGACAGCCAGGGCTTCAGTTTAATGTCTCATCCAAAGGACAGCGTCTCCAACAACCTCCCTTCCCCCCCAGCACTGAAGTGGAGTGTCAACCTCGATGAGATGAGATTCAAGTAAGGATTTAACCCACAACCTTCTGACTCGGAGGTGAGATTGCAACCAAATGAGCCACAAGCTGATACGTAGAGAAGAAGAATTGCAGAAAGCACTTAATTCATCTGAATAAGACCATGAACTTCAGTGAGAGAAAGCAGCTGTGCTCTGGTGTGTACAGTATTTATAATGGATTTTCTCCACCCTATTCACTGTGTCTCCTTGTCCTATGACCTCTCATCTCAGACTTATTAGGTAAACGTAGCCCTTTTTAATACAAAAAATCTGTATCTGAATAAGACCTATTTCAGAAATGGTAACATTTACGAACCTCGGGGAAGGGCACATAAAGGAAGCAATTTCTACCAAATTGCCTTCCATGGTCTGGCTGTGCAGTGCTTGCAAGTAAAAGACAGGCCGTGAAAGGTTTATCAGACTCCAACTGACTGAAGGTCAGTGCAAAGCCAAAGTTCGATGCACTAGGATTTGAGAAGTCGCAATAACGTTATTTTCTCCAGATAAAAGCATTGTTCGCAAGGAAGCGATTACTCAGGGGTTTGTGTTACCAAATCTCTGTATCTGTTTTACCCTCAGTCTCAATGCTATGTTTTTTTGACTACAAATAAGAAATGTGGACTTTTGTGATCTGTAGGTAATAATCCTTTCATTTGATATAGTGCCTTATCACGTCTCAAAGCGCTTCACAGAATATATTGTAAAGTGAATTGACTGTGGATTATTACTTCATATATTGTTACTTCATGTAAGCAAATTGCTGTGTTCATTATGAATTCTTGGGAACCCTACAACTTGCATCAGGAAGTGACAGTTTATTCGGATTGGGTTTAATTAAAGTCTGGGTTTCAAAGTTTTTTTTCATAAAAAATGCAAAAGCCCTCGGTAATTGACCTCATCGTACACTCACTTTAAATTCAATAAATCACATCCACGCTTTTTGTGTCTAGCTCTGCGCCATAAAGGTGTTTAAAAGGCTCACACACAGAAATCACCAGCTTTCCCATGTATGCCAACCTATGTACAAGAACACTGGCAATGTGCAAGATGAGAAAAGAATTTTTTCACGAACCATACAGCAATTTACAACACAACATATTACTTTTGCAAAGCAGTATCTCTTTCCAGGCAACAGTAAATGTGGACGACTACTACTACTGATAATAATCCTTGCATTTGATATCACACCTTATCACGTTATCGAGACGTCTCAAAGGTCTTCACAGAATATACTGAAACATGGATTGACTGTATATTTTGTGGGCGAAACAAACACTTAACATAAGGGAGGCCAATTCACGAGAGCATAATTCTACATCCCAGTAAGATAGGAAAAGATTCTATTGACCAATTGTCATCACAGTAATATCATATTTTTTTTATGAGTGAAATTACTGACTGCATATTTTGTGGGAGATTATCTTGCAATGCAAATGGTTTGAAGACCATTGTTATTTCCAGGGCATTGTGATAGTCACCATAACATCACCCCCAGATGCTGGTGTGATTTTGTACATAATTAAAATGAAAATACTAGTTATTAGTTGAATGGAATTTCAATTTGTCATACATATAAATTGGCCACATCACTGCAGTTAATACTAGTAATAATATTATTCATACATTATGTATATGGTGGTATCATTATGATGAATATAATGTAATTACTGCAAGCCCTTGCCTCCCCTTGGACTCTGTAGCAGCACTTGTTATTCATTTCTGTAAAGCCCAAAAATATGTATGTTTTTCTCTCTCAGTTTTCTCCCCTCTCCTGAGGTTAGTGACGTGTCCTGTGGATAGCATGAGGGAGTTCAAAGGGCACTGGATGCCATTTCAAATCAATTTACCATTCACTGTGAGTGAGCATAGACAGTGAGTAAAGTGTTGTAAAGTTATTCAATTGTTGGGCGAGAGTGGCTCAGGGCTAAACATACGACAATTCATAATAATGTTAATGCCTTAACACGCCGTTCAGACATCTCAAAGCGCTTCACAGAATATACTGTAAAGTGAATTGATTGTATATTTTGTGGGTGAAAATTTCCAAGTGTTCAGGAACAAGATCTCTGGGTGAGTATCCCCCCCCCCCCACCCCTTCTACCCTAGGCACTTGTAGGCTATGTTCCAACAATGACTTGCATTTATATAGTGCCCCTCACGCAGGGTAGAGTCCCAGAGAGCTTCAGGTGAAGAGTGAGGAACGTGGGAACGCAAAGGACCACAACCATAATCTTAGATCCATGTTGTACTTTGGCAGAGAGAAACCTCACTATGACAATCGTAAAACGTACTGATTTCCACCATATTGACTTCCAGCGAAATTTGTTTTGCAGCAGTTTATTTTTAAAATGAGTTTTAAGTTTCCTTCCAAAAGCGAGCCGACGTAAATGGTTTGGCATCATTTCATATTTGTCTCTGTTTGTGTACAGTTTCCCCGCAAACATAATCGAATTGGCTTTGCAACATGACACCCAAGGCTACTCAGATGAATTAATTGGAATTGAGATGATCCGATCAGTGATTAAACCCTGATCTTAAAGATTTGTACAGGACTACATAACCAGCAAGGTGTCAGCGAAAAATACATAGATGTCACTATGCAAGAGGTGATATAATGATCTTTTTATCCAACGCAAGAATATTGCTAATGCAGTTTGCTTCACTATTTGCTATTAGCATCATCCTTATTAGTTTTGATGCATTCATCTTGTACAGAGTGTTGTGAAAATCTTTATTCCACATGTATCATAAAGGAGTTAAGTGAATCATAGTTATTATGCTCTGTTGCTTTTGAAATTGCTGTTGGGCATTTGTTGCACTGTATTGTATCAGCTAATGAATGGCCACACAATGCTGATAGTTAAATAGGACAAGTCAGCACTTAAAAATCTCTATAAAATACCATGGCATTTATTTGATACCCATGCAATCTGTTTCAAAGGTAACTGTTGTCGAGTGTAGTGACTTTGTATTTTGCAGTGGCTAATTTGCACACAGCAGGCACCGTTTTGATTAAGTGCTTGCAGCAGAATGATTTGAGGAGATAAATTGCAAATATATTACTTCTTGCTCCAAGTTACTCTTGGTTCAAGAAAGTCCACTTTTGCATGTGTGTCAGACTATTGCTCACAGGTGCACATGCATCAGATTATGCAGACCAATGTCAAACACTGATTAATAAGATAATAAAGAGCTGGGTGTGTGAATGTTTGTGTAATAACCCTTGCCCAGTTGTAGTAAAAAGTAGAGTTATAATACATCTGTGAACATTGATTTTATTCCAAATGGGAGCATGACTTCAAATTGAATCAATGCTACTTAATCCAGAGTTATACTACCACAGTGAATCAACATTAAGGATGTTCTGGATAACTCTTCTAAGCACAATCGCTCTGGGATGGAGTACATCGATCACGTTGGTGGAGGACCCCAAGGAGTTGGACGACCATTGCATGGAGCCGTGCTACTGTGAAGAGAAAGAGAGCATTCTGCACATTAACTGCCAGAGCAAAGGCTTTACAAATATCAGTCAGATCACCGAGACCTGGAGAAGACCTTTTAAACTCTACCTGCAGAAGAACTCGATGAGGAAACTCTATGGCAACGCTTTCCTCTTCCTAAGCAACGCGGTGTCCATCAACCTTGGCAACAACGCATTGCAGGACATTCGGGCTGGAGCCTTCAACGGTATGAAACTGCTCAAGCGCCTGTACCTGCACGAAAACAAGCTGGAGGTCTTTCGAAACGACACGTTTTTGGGGCTGGACAATTTGGAATACCTACAAGCCGATTACAACATCCTGAAGCGGATCGAGGGAGGAGCATTCCGGCACCTCCACAAACTCAAGGTCCTGATCATCAATGACAACCTGATCCCATTGCTCCCTTCCAATCTCTTCAGGTCGGTTTCCTTAACCCACATCGACCTCCGTGGGAACAGGCTAAAAGCCCTGCCTTACACGGGGACATTGGAGTATATCGGCCGGACTCTCATGGAGATTCAGCTGGAGGAAAACCCCTGGAACTGTACCTGCGACGTGTTGCCATTAAAGACTTGGTTGGAAAGCCTCCCTTACACGGCCCTGGTGGGTGAGATCACCTGCGAGACCCCCTTCCACCTGCACGGCAAGGACTTGAGGGAGATCAGGAAAAGTGAACTGTGTCCAATTCTTTCTGAGGTGGAGGTGGAGGTGAGCTTGGGCCTGCCCCAGTTGGCGTCCAGTAACGACAACAACGCCTGGCCCACCAAACCCTCCTCCATGTCCCTCTCGGTGACTTACACCGCCTCTTCCGTCGAATACAAGACTTCGGGGAAGCTGCCCAAAGCTACTGTGAGCCCCAAGACTATCAAAGCACAGCCGACTCTGCGCAGCGTGTATTCTGGGCCAAACCAGCCAGTTATAGCGGGTTATCAGACCAGGCCACCCATCCCCATCATCTGCCCCACTGAATGCTCCTGCAGCTTGCACATCAGTGACTTGGGTTTGACAGTCCAGTGCAAAAACAAAGGCATCCAGACCATGTCGGAACTGATCCCCAGGCCACTGAATGCCAAGAAGCTCTACCTGAGCCCGAACCTGATACAGAAAATCTACAGGTCGGATTTCTGGAATTTCTCCAGTTTGGATCTGTTACACCTGGGGGATAACCATATATCCTACATACAGGATGGGGCTTTCATGAATCTTCCAAATCTGAAAACACTCTATCTGAACAACAACGAGATTGAGCGCCTGACCCCTGGGATGTTCAGGGGGCTGCAGAACCTCCAGTATCTGTATTTCGAATTCAATATCATCAGAGAAATTCAACCCGCATCCTTCAGCCTGATGCCCAATCTCCAGTTGCTGTTCCTCAACAATAACCTTCTCAGAACTCTGCCGACGGACGCCTTCATGGGCACTTCCCTGGCCAGGTTGAGTCTGAGGAACAACTATTTTCTCTACCTGCCCGTCAGTGGGGTGTTGGAACACCTGGACGCCATCGTGCAGATCGACCTGAACCACAATCCCTGGGACTGTACCTGCGACCTGATCGCCCTGAAGCAATGGGTGGAAAAGATCAGCACAGTCATCATGGTGGGCGAGGTGTTCTGCAAGACGCCGGAGTTCTTAACCGGGGTGGATCTGAAAAAGGTCGAGTATGAGATCTTGTGCCCGGAGCTGAAAAATGCAGCTGCTTCCCCAGCTCTCCCTGGGTCTGGGAGTAATGGCAATGTGGTCTCCACCACCACTGGGTTTGGGTTCTCCTCACAAGGGGGCGCCATTCCACTGTCTGTCCTCATCCTCAGCCTACTGATCATTTTCATCTCTGCTGTCTTCATTGCCGCTGGGCTATTCGCCTTTGTGCTCAGGAGGCGGAAGAAATCGCCCTTCAGGAGAAGGCAGGAGGTCGATCTAACAGGCATGCAGATGCAGTGTAGGATCTTCGAGGACAGAGCTACCAACTCCCCCGAGAAAGCAGCCAGTCATGTTTATGACTATATCCCCCACCCGGTCACCCAGATGTGCAACAACCCCATCTACAAGCCGCGCGAGGGAGAGATGGAGGAGGAATTCGCAGAGACTCAGGAAAACAATAGCAATTACAAAACTCTGATGGAGAAAGAGAAGGAGTGGAAGATGTCGCTGTCCAACAACAACCTTAACGCCATCGTCACAATCAATCAGACTAACGATTTTGCAAACTTTCCAGAGAATGGAGTCATATACCCCAGTGTGTTGGACAGAGAAAGGCCCGCTCACACGGTTGGTTTTGTGGACTGTCTGTATGGCACCGTGCCCAAGTTAAAAGAATTGCATGTCCACCCACCTGGCATGCAATACCCTGACTTACAGCAAGATGCCAGGTATAAAGAAACTATTCTGTTCGGCTCCTCTGGACGGGGGTATCCTGACCAAACCCAGAGCGAATACCTCGAGTTAAGGGCCAAACTTCAAACTAAGCCAGATTACCTCGAAGTACTAGAGAAGACAACATATCGGTTTTAGTGATCATCATCAAACTCCCCGTCCCCCCCACCCTCCACCCACCCACCCCACACCCCAAATCACAGCATGTTTAGAAGGTAAAGGGAGATAAATCGCCATCCCCTAATTAGGTTGCTTTGGACGAAAGGCCATTCTCGAATCATACTCAATGAAGTGCCTTGCAGACTTTAGCCAGCAATGATATCAATCATCTTATTTTTTTATGGAAATGAAATCTCTTGACTGTGCCTCTCTACGAAAGGATAGAGGCCAAGTTATTGATCGTCATATAAATAAATTACTGGCAGCAACTTTTTCACTTTATTTGGCAGGAAACGTTAGCTCTCTCTTTCTCGCTCGCTCTCTTCCCATCTAAAGAAATGCCGAGGGCATATTCTGTGAAACATTGACTGCAGACTTTACTGCATGTGTAAAACTGCCGGGGTGTAACTTGCTCAAATGACAAGACATAAACTTAGTAATTAAAGTGACTGCAACGCTTTAACGTTCAGTGTTATTTAATTTTTTATATATTATATATAAAAATATATATTATATTCAAGAGAGGAGCATAAAGACTATACGACGCACCTAAGGATTTCAAAATTTGTGAATAAGACGCCAAGATTTTATTATAAACAACGCACTTTCTTAAAAAAAACCTCGTCATTGTTGATGCTTATACCACTAACAGCTTTGTAAGAAGCACTTTTAATGTTTTCTCTCTCACGCACAAAAAAGATTTCAAACTGTGCATATTTATTCTGTAATTTCCGTGAACAATCATTGTAAAAGGTAATGTTAACTCAATGTAGTGACCGCGTCTGGTAAAGCTTTCTTAATAAAACGTTGTTAAAACTATGCAGAAACACTGTAAGGCGCTGTGTGTTGGTAGAATGTCACTCAGCTGTCAAGGGTCCAAAGATTGCATTGGAAGCCAATCTATTTTTAATTTGACAAAAAATTTCCACGAGGAATCTTGGAATCTTATCCTGGACTTAAAACCTTTTCTCTGGGGGGCATTTACACAGGTCGATTTGTTTTTTTTATTACCCTCTTTATATAAAAAGTAAAACTTTTTCTTGAACACAGTCCACACTCTATGAGTTGGCAACAAGCAGTTTTTTTTTGAGACTTCAAGCACAGCAGTCAAATAAATACACGGGATGGAAAGTTACTTGGGAAATAAATAAAACCCACTGGACTTTTAGTCTTTTGGGAAGGTTTCATAAAAGATATGTTTCACCTATACAAATACATCGAACTATACAGCAAGCACAATGCAATATTGGTTGATAACATCAAGTACATGTTATTGGGAGATTCTGGATGCAATCCAGGGAAAAGAAATCTGCATCTTGTAAATTCTTCTTGTCCCGGATTAATTGTAAGTAATAATTCTTTTAATAAATAATTCTAATCGCAAATCGATTGCATCCTACCATTTAAATTGCTCGAATTTCATAGCCGGTACCAATTTAGCCTCCGAAGCATTGATAAATTGTGCAAGCTCTGAAGTCTTAATGCATTCCGATTGCGTTCCTTAAATCTTTTGACGGTATAAAACGTGTTCAAGCATCACCGAGAAATAATTAAATTGACAGTCTTGGTAGTCATCCGATTGTAATTCATTTGAAGCGCCATCTGCTTTGCTGAGAAAATTGTCAAAATATTGTGTGGCAAAAATTGAACTGGAAAAGAGACGTTTGTGCCAGCAGATGGCGATGCAGATTACACCCACGGATGGATTCAGGCGCCCGCTGTGAAATGCTCATCCAAAAATGCAGTTCATTTTGTCCACAATGGGGTTTGAGCTCATTCGTGCTCAACTGGTAATTTATTTCCATTCTGTCTCATCCAATTTATGATCCCCCCCCACCCCTCAAAAAAAAAACTTGGGAGGCAAACAATCTGCCATAATTCCGAATAAGTCACAAAACGTGCAGTCAATTCACTTTGCATTAAATTCTGTGAAGTGCTTTGAGATAACTCAACGGCATGGTAAGGGGCTATATCGAATGCAAGGATTATTATTATTATTATTATGATCATCGCTCTGGGTAGGAAACCTATTGCTTCCTGAAATGGAACGGTAGATTCAGAAAATATGTATGTCTTGGATTATTAATCAACCTGCCAGTCACTCGCCTACTTTAAATACTCCATGAAAATTTTTAGTATTATATCTTCTGACATCTTATTACTGCGATGCCAACAAGTCCCCCGTGTTCCTACAGCGATGGTGAAATTAATCTGTGGGTTTAATCTGTATCTCGTTTACAAGCTCCTCTTTGCACAGCAGAAATTTCAGGCATTTTGCAAACTGGTGAACATAAATCAAACTCCAAGGACAAGGGTCAATATTCTTTAGATTAATGGTATTTACATGAGTGTTATATCTATAAAAAGTGCGTGCACGTGTTTTCCCCGTGATATAAATGCAGACGTGCATAAAATGCTGTGGAATGTGTTTTTTTCCCCCCAAATCTCAAAGTTCAACTGTGAGCGTCATTGTAGCCATGAGAAATCCTGCATAACCACAAATGTGATAGACAAGTTCTGTGTATTCTGTTTAGATTAGACATTAAATGATCACAATGGCGCCAATTTGGTTTGCGATATGGTATAGTTGTAGCTGGCGTGCGAATCCAGACATGTTGATAGTCAGCCCGGGTCATGAGTGAGGTGTTTATGGTCTTTTTTCTGTGTTTGTGAAAGCCACCGTTCAGCCAGATCTGTGACAAGATATAATGGTGTTTATTCCTCCCTTCTCCTTGATCATTTTGCCCACAAAAATACACAGTCAATTCACTTTACAGTGTATTCTGTGAAGCGCTTTGAGACGTCTCGACGACGTGATAAGGGGCTATATCAAATGCAAGGATTATTATCATTTAAAACTTTTTTTTTAAATTCACTTGCACATCCTCTATATGTATAAACATTGTGGCACAGAGCAGATTGTGGGCAATTTACAAATAATAGATCCTGTCTCTTTTTTTAAAAAAAACATGTTAAGTGTGTATTCGTGGAAACCAGTCATTATTGAAGGGTTTTCTTTGCGCTTAAGTTACTGCATTTACTTTCTGGATTGTCTGCTGATTCAGGAAAAATACGCCAGGTTTCTTTTTAAGTGATAGATTCTTTAAAAGAGTGCCTTGTGAGCACATCAATACGCTGTCAGCACCACTTGAAGCAAAGTTGTGAGATTGTCACGAGAGATTGTTAAACCACGGTTTGCTGATATGGTGCCTTTTTATATATAAACAATTGTGACTGAGATATGCCCAGAGGAACGCTTGAGGGATAGAGGTTTGCAATTGGTTTTCCTCATTCTTATTCTAGAAAGAACACTGGCCCATTCGGAAGGACTGTGAATCATCCACCTTAAAATGTACCTTCAGTCAAGTTCTTATAGTCCAGGGGGAATCTGAATTTTTTTAAACCAAAGACTATATTAAAGGTTCTTTGGTGACCGTCCCCTAAGGATATTTGCTGTCTTGCGTCAGGCAAGAGGAGTTTGACAGTGGGATCTATAATACAAATTGCGTAACAGATGTAATCCACATGTGCTTAGAAGTGGAATTATGTGTGCCCCTAATTATTTAATTAAGAACCAGTGAGTCTCTCTGTATTTAGACCAACAATTCCCACAAGATAAAACTGATCATTCAGTTCATGGGTGTGTGTGTGTTTGAGGGACATTGCTGAGTGCAAATTGACTGCCGTGTTTGCCTACAAATACAGAGCTGCTCCACAGCAAAATTCTGTGAAGCGCTTTGTGACGCCTCAATGAGATGTGATCAAATGCAAGGATTATGATTGTATTGTTGTTATAATTTACACACAGTTCACGCAACTTGTATAATAGACCCCATGAGAAAATATTCCGTGTATGCCTGCTCTGATTAGTGTTTTCATTTGTTCCACAAAAATCCAAACCTTCGGCTGCTTGCTCTTGAGTTGAGCAGAGATGGGCAATTTAAGAACTCCTGGATTCTAATTCCGCCACTGATAATCTTATTTCACCCAGGACTTGATCTGATCTTTTCTGGTTCGTTCCAACGATAGATCCATGAAGAGTATTTCGCCCGCTTCTGTCAAGGAGGATCATCTCTAAAACAAATAATCAATTGAGATGTTGCGAATATGGGCCATGCTTTGGACAACTTTCCGAGAAAATGTTGATGCTGTGTTACCATTGCCAGTCTTAGGATTTGTACCCCTGTACATCAGGTGCATTGTCTCATATGTTGACGTTCAATTTCTGCATTGCGATAGTCCACTGTTCAATCTTTGTCACAAAGAAGTCTGTAGTGCAATTCATGAGAAATGAAATGCATCAGCTGTCAATTGTGTTAGTGTGCCTTGAAGTACATTGAATGTCATGGATTTTTTTTTATCAGTTACGATCCTCAGTCTGGTTATGTATTATGAGTGTCCGACACCATAAAGCAGATTGTTTCTTTGAGCGTGTGAGGGCATCCCCCTCCCCTTTCTCCCTTCCTCAGGACAGTTCCCCCCACCACCAAGTCTGCAGCTCTCCGAGATGCTATTGCCAAGTTGTTATCTTCTTCTGTTCTGTTCAACAAATCTCATCTATCATTCTTGGGTGTGTTCTACAAGTTCCAAACCAGGTTACTGGACTCCATGACTTGTGATATTGGACAGAAATTTCCTCTAACAAGAATTATTCTGTGCTGTTCACTGCCTGTTAACTAGATGTGAGCCCAGTGACAGTGATCATTGAAGATGTATGATAGTCAGACTGGCTTGTCCTCCAGCACATGAGGTGGAAGGCTTAGATTGATGATATAAAAGGCATACATCAACGAGGCGACGATGTTCATCTTATGAAAAATGCAGCAACTACTAACCAAAGCAGCTTTGAGGTTGCTGTATTTGATGTGGTAAAGATGAACTGATTTGTGGAGTTTGGCTTCTTCGGTTATGTAACAAGTGCAACTCACTTTAAAATTAGATCTCCTCGCAGGCATCATGTTTTGCACTAATTCGCTCATAACCTGCATCCGACATAGGGTCTGCCATGTGAACCTC